ATTATTATTATTATTATTATTATTATTATTATTATTATTATTATTATTATTATTATTATTATTATTATTATTAGCCGAGATGGTCTGTCACAGGAGGTTTCTTGGGAATGCTACAAGCTATACCAAAAACTCAACCTAGTGTCCTGCCCCAGTTGGAGTCTGGAGGAAGAAGATGAACAGCTGACAGAGAGCGGGAGTGTGGCTCTGTTGGCTGTGAAGGAAACTGAGGAAGGGCAAAGTCCGGCTGGGCAGAGCAGGGGAGAGGTAGAACAGGGGAGAGGGAGTTCAGAGGAAGACCCAGGCCCACCCCTTCTTCATCCTAGGGCACGCAGAGAGGAACGGAGAAGGGAGCAATGTGGGTGGCGTGGCTTACGGGGGAGGAAAGGGCCCTGATTCCCTTCATTTGCCACACCTGAGAATGAGAGTTTAAAAGAGATGCAAGCTGAGTGCGGCGGCTGCTGGGAGCAAATGTGAGTTTATCTTATGTTGACTTTGGTTATCTGCATTCTTGGCATCCTCCCAACCGGGCTGAATTACTGCCATTCCTTCACGTCTGAAATTCCTTCTCCTGCCCTGCTGAACTAATTGCCTCATTTTGCCTTGATTGGACTTTAAGTTACAGTTTGTGTTGACCATGTTTTGGACTTGATTCTCTGCAGCCAAAGGCTGTTCCTGGGAGAGTTTTTCTCCAGCCAGAAGGTAACCAGGACAACATTGGGGGCAAAGTTGGAGCTAATAAAGGGACTCCTATGGATTATCTGAGGGTGTGGCCTTTGTCATCCCACCCAGGCTGAGCTTGCCCAGGGCACCTGGGTTTAAATGCAATTGGCTAGTTCAGGACTCAGCCACTGGGGAGAACCAGCTGGTCCTCTGGGAACTGTCCAGCCTCCTTCTGCGGCCAGGAGGGTCAGGTTATGACCAGAAGTTCTCCCCTGATGGGCCTTGCAAGAGACCCTCCCTACTTCCCAGATGCTGGAGAAAGCCACTGAAGAAGAAACAGAAGGTTCCCCAAAACCAAACCTTGTAGAGGAAAACTTTATTTTCTTCAAGTCGTGAAAGGGTTTGGATGTTTGAGGATTACAGTTCGATAAATGAGGAGCAGGACCATCTTTTACTCTGTGTGTTTTTCTTTGTTTAAAAAAATATCCCCTGCCTTGCTGCTGGAAATCTCTCTCCCTGAGCCAAGAAGACATGCCAAGACACGTCCCAGGTTTCTGGTTTGTTTTTTTCTTCCCCTCCAGCCCTTTCCCTCTGTCCTCCCTCCTCTTCCTCAATGCTTCCGTCCTGAGAATCCAAGGAGTTTTGCAAGCAAGCCGCATGCCTTCCCCTCCCTTTGCGCCTTCACCCCGATTTTCCAGCCGTTAAGGTATAAAAAGAGTGTGTTTTTTTTGGTCGGTTGGTGTTTCTCCGAAAGACGTGTGCTTCTACAAGGAGGATGGGGAGCTCCGTCTAACGTAAGTGCAGGCCAAGGAGGCAGGTGGGACAGGGGACAGAAACAGGCGTCCTAAATGACATTTTCAAACAGCTGCATGGAGTTCATGATGTTCTCATCCTAAAGAAGCCAGAGGGGACAAAGAGAGAGAGAGAGAGAGAAAAGAAACACGCGGTGTAAAACCCACCCCTCTCCTAGGAAAATGAAATATTTTGGGATATACTAAAAAGGCAGAATATTTCCCCTAAAAAGAAAAGTAGAAACTCAGAGAGGCAGAAACTCAGCCCTCACCCCCACCTTTGCTAATGGGCCATTAAGGCCTGGGCCAGAGTATTCTACATAACAAAGGCCTCTACCCATCTCACCACCTGGCCTGGGAAGATTGCATCAGCCAGCACTCAGGTGAAGCCAAGTGGTCCAGCTAAGACCCCGCCCCTGGGAGTCTGACAGCCAATGGGATACATTTCTTGCACAGGAACAGGAAACACTAAGGTGGAGGCCAACAGAGGGCATAAAACTAAGGGCCTCTCAGCATCTCAGCCCCTTTCCTTCTTTCTTCAGCCAAGGCAGGTGGTCCTGTCCACCATTAAACCATCTTTCCAAACAGCCTCCATGTTTTCATTTTTTTAAAAAGTCTGTCGTAACTTCAAACCGTTGCTTAAGCTGGTCGTAAATCGAGAAATCGCCTATTACAATCCAGAGGCCAAATTGCAGGCAGCCCGTGGAGAGAGCCGAATCGGATCTTCTGTCCTCAGGAGAGGTTGCTTAGAGTCTAGGTTTGCTGTGTTTATTTATAGGACCAAACTCCCAAATGTAAAAATAAGCCACTTATTATTAACTGCTTCACTTTCGCAGCTAAAAGAATTTCCCACTGCTGGAAAAACTTCAGATAATGTAACAGTTGAGACATGGATGAACAAGGACTCTATTCAATTGACACAAGAGGAGGAGGAGGAAGAATAGAAATAGAAGAAAATAGAAAAAGAAGAAATAGAGGAAATAGAAGAAGAAAATAGAAGAAGAAA